TCACATCTACAATCCAGTTTGCTCTGTGATGGCACAAACTACGCTAGCACAAAGATGGAGTGTTGCAGAGAGAATAAGCAACCAGGATGGAAAAAAGGTTTGACTTCAGCAACCATGATGACTTTTTCCCCACTTACACCATTTCTATTATTATTACAGCTTTAGAAAGGCTGAGCCATCCATCCGGGACAGCAAGGAAGGACAGGCTGGGTTGCTTCTTTTGGCCACAATAGCAGTTGATACTTATGCCTGAACTTTTTGCCAAGCTATAGACTTAATCATGCTACGTCCACCCCCCCAAACAACATACTATAACCTAAGGCAAAATCCTCATTAGTTCTACTACCACATCAGCTTTATTTTTTATCTCATCTTTCATGTACAAAACTCCTTTTTCCCCTGTTTTAAGGCTACAGAATCTCTTGCCATGTAATTTATACAATAAAGTGTAGTCCCATTTGAACTACTCCAATTTTCACTTTGACAAAGTCACATTTCAGATACTGTGAATGGTAAGAATAAATGCCCTTCCTCCACCCCAAATGAAGGGTCTTTGCTTTATTACTGCTTTTCTGTGAGGGGGCCAGGATGTAATTGATTGTTAGATCAAAATATCTTCTCTGTAAAATTTACTCCTAGCTTGACACAGGAATGGAGCTTTGAATTTTATTAACTAGTCACTATGACATACACCACCTTAGTTACAGACCTTTTGGCCATGCCCATGTTCCAGTCACGACTGCTTTTCACAGGGTCTCTGTTCTCTCTGTATTAACCTAATGAAGCTCAACAACAGTAAATGCAATGCCCTGTACCTGAGACAGAATAACTCTATCCAACAGTACAGGCTGGGCACCAAGCAGCTAGAAAGCAGCTTTACAGAAAAACACTGAAGTGTCCTGACAGATGGGAAGCTGAACACTACTCAGCAGCACATCCTCGCAGCAAAGAAGGCCTATACACATCAGGCTGTGTTAACAGAGTTGCAGCCAGCAGGTCTAGGGAAGTGATTATTTAGGCATCTCAGAGTCCTTCACTCCAGGACAGTGTTCAGTTTTGAGTTGCCCAGAGCAAGACACTGAAACAGGGGCCCTGAGAACAGGATGAATGAGAAGCTGAAAGAAATAACCTAGTTCACTTTTAAGAAGAGATGTCTAAAAATGGATGGGAACTTTGTTGTCTTCAACTGCTGAATGGCACTGTCCCCTGAAAACAGACAGAGGTACCCCAGGAGATGAGCAGCAACTGACACAAGCTGCAATACAAAAACTCCCAATGAGCCATCGGGGGGAAAAAAAATTACTGTGAGGGTAGCCACACACTGGAACAGAGGCCCGTCCTTGCAAGTATTCAACACTAGTTTAGATAAGGCCCTGAGCTGCCTGATTGAGCTGGCCTTGCTTTAAAGGGGAGGAAAAGGAGTGGACCAAATGACCTCCTAAGTTATTCTCCAATTATCCAGTCATTTCCTTTTGTATTAGACTTATTCCCCAGTTATACTAGGTAACTGCTGTGTTAGTAACCCAAAACCGTTCCTTGGGACAGGCTCCAAAAGGACCATGGGTGACCCGGCTGCTCCTAATCCTTAGGAACACTCAATACAAGAGAAACCAGCTCAACATTTCCAGACTCCTTGTGTAGCACAGAGCAAAGTTAAGGACCTGTTTCTTTTTTGCCTTTTATTGCATGCAGCATTAAGAGATGAGTGCAATACATAAGTGATGCTTAACCAAGCATACACCCAGTTACCACAGTCCGGATCACCCAGGCATGGCGGCAACTCTGACCGCGGAACTCTTATCACTTCACCAGGCACCTTTGCGTGGCCCGAGCGCCCCGGGTACAACCGCACGGAAGGAGGTCCGCACGGAGGCC